TAATCATTTTTCTTAGAACGAAAGAAGTCAATAAGAAATAGGCGAGATAGGTTGGTAGGACACCTTCTCAGGCATGAAGGGCTAGTTACAGACATATTAGTGGCAGAAACGGGAATTAGGAAGGGTAGAGGTAGGCCTAGATTGGATTACTGTTCGCAAATAGTTAAGGATGTGGGTTGTTCTAGTTTTAGGGAAATGCGAAAATTAGCTCAGGATAGGAAAGAGTGGAGGTACGTGTCCAACCAGTCTTAGGACTGACGACCTTATGATGATGATAACGAAAGGCGGAGATTTGAAATCAATGCAAAACTTGTTGCTCCCAACAAAAATTCTGGAAATTGTGGAAATCGGATACAATAGTTTAGATGACTTCTATTTTCATAACGACTTTTTGCATTAATTCATTACACGTATTACTTGTAGAGGTTTGTCTAAAATGTTTATTTTATTTGTACGCAATAGTACTAAAAACTGCTCGGACTTCGTATGTATATAAGATAGGATCAAGTGGACGATATTCAGTTGCAATTGCACGATTCGAAAGTCGTTTTTCATAAATTGGTAGCAAAATACAAATGGTATCTAATATTTTCTCTTGTTGTGGCTGCTACTGAACTGGATCCATCCAATTTTCCAACTTAATTAAACTCGGTTGGCTGCATCTGTCCAGATTAAGGGCTCCCTCTCCTCCAGTTTGGCTGTTATAGTTGTTGAGACGTAAAAGAAAATATGAAATGAATTACGATGTACAATATTCTGTCCGTTCCGTTGCAACTTCGTACATATATATACGTAGATACAAGCGCTAATCGCAAGACGGAGTATGAGAACGTATTACTGTGCTTTGTAGTTGCAGATCCTTTACAGATCCGTCATTAACAGTGAAGTCGCCCAAGGCTGCAGACAAATTGGAAGAGCTTTCGTCCTCTTCATGATCCCATCTAGTTATAAAAGACGTTGCGAATATATCGTAAAAATGCACGTACCTACGTTGATGTAAGAATTAAACATACGATCCTTTTCTTCAAGAGAATCCTTTATAGATAGTTATTTAAAGAATGTACGATCTCACGTTCAAATTAGCGTCTTATGTGTACTCTCTAACAGTCCACAAAAGTAGCTCATTTTCTACCTAATAATAATTGCTGTAATATTTCTCCATACTTTTATTTTCTGGAAGGTTTCATATCTTCATTTTCTTCATAAGATACCCGTATTATTTCGAAGTCATCATCATCATCATAAGGTCGTCAGTCCTAAGACTGGTTGGACACGTACCTCCACTCTTTTCTATCCTGAGCTAAACTTCGCATTTCCTTAAAACTAGAACAGCCCACATCCTTAACTATTTGCGAACAGTAATCTAATCTTGTTCTACCTCTACCCCTTCTAACTTTCTTTTCTGTCTTTAATATGTCTCTGAGCAGACCTTTATGCCTGAGAAGGTGCGCTACCAACCTATCTCGCCTATTTTTGATTGACTTTCGTACAGTCCTCTGTTCTCCTATTCTTTCCAATACCTCTTCATTTCTAACCTTTTCTACCCACGATATCCTTATCATCGGCCTATAACACCACATTTCGAACGCTTCTAACCTTTTCTTTTTCGCTGCGCCCACTGTCCATGTTTCGCACCCGTACAATGCCGTGCTCCAAACATACACCTTTAACAACCTTTTTCGAATTTCTAAATTAACCATTCGCGAGCATAGAAGTGACTTCTATTTATTAAAGGCGACACGACCCTGCGCTATCCTCTGCCTTATATCCCTACTACTCCCTCCATCCTGACTTATCTGACTTCCTAGGTATCCAAAATCAGCCACTTCTTCTAATTTTTCGTCTCCTATCTTTATATTCGCTCTTTCCCTACTTTTTCTTCCCTTGCATATCAGTATTTTAGTTTTACTTGTATTTATTTTCATACAGTACTGATCTGTCAGAAGAAAATATAATGAAATAAAGGTCTTGTCATTCTGCGTTTATTAAAAAAGACTGCGGACGATCTGTCGCACGGTTCACGCCTGTTTGACTAAAATGTACGCTATAAAAACGTCAAATTTTTGCATGAAAAAGTTGGAAATCTCGGAGATGAGCTTTCCGCGAGATAATATCGTGTATATATAGTCAAATGGAATCTCAAAAACATCGTGGTACTATCCACATGAGCGAAAGTACGGGGTTGTGCTATATTTTTTTTATCCGGGTAAAATAAAGTGACCCCAATTGCTCAAATGTGTTATTTATTATTATTTCGCCTATTTAGTGGTGATATGTTCAAAAATATCCAAAGCAATTACTCATGTTGCCAGGTTTTCATTTTCGCAAAGGCCTTTGGAATCTGTTACATCTGTTGAAATGCATTGCTATACGGATATATCAATTTTGAAATTGTTTACCTGTCTCTTACTTGGAAATTGATTAATTACCGGTTTCGTATTTAAACTTGGACGGTTGGTAATCGCGTTCGTTCGTGGTCTTTCCAATTTTTCAAAAATTTAATTAAGCGTTAAAACCGTGTCCGTTATGGATCCATCGAAAATGATCAGTATGCTTGGAGACGCGTGAATTGCGAAATTAAAATTTTCAGTTCGGTTGAGTCTTGAATCAATTCCTTCCGTTTCTTTCCCCCTTCTGTCTTTCTACGAGCGTTAAAATTAATGGTTACCTCCCGTAACTCCATTTCTACGTGACTTGGAATACCGAACAAAAATAATAACAGGGGTACGTAGGTAGACGCTCTATTTAAACACCTGTCTTCCTTTCTTCAAATCAAATAAAATTGTGGTGCGAAGTTTGATACCCCTTCCGTAAACTAATTAGTCTTCTATAATTAAATACACAAACTTTGAGAATTATTGAATGAAATTTAACGTGTAGAGTTATTCAAATTTTGACTATTTATTATGGTGTGTGGGAATAATAATAAACAGTGGCAGATTGTTACTGATAAGAACAATGTCTAAAGAAACTATTCTGTATGTATCTAAGGTACAAAAATGGCAAGATGTCATAAGAAATTTTCCGTGAAAGTGTAGAGAATAATTAACGCTTATTCAATAATTAAATCTTATGTTTGATTTTTCATCTAAATCTAGAATACATGTGCCTGTAAAGTTTCATACTGTGGATAGCATTATAAATTTACAGAAAGAAAGTAAAACATTTTTATTTGTGTAAAACTAATAGTATTGCAGCAAACCGTAAGTACAATAATAAATAATTTTTATTTGTCATGGATAGATATATTTTTTGGTCAAAAATAATAAACCNATCGATTTTCATAATATTCTGGCACACCTAGTACATCACTATGGGCCATCAATTGGACCACCTCAAACCTTCACCCAGTTGAAATTTCTTAAGGCATCCTACCCTTTTTATTGTAGATTCCTTATCCAGTGATAATGGGAAATAAAGTCAAACCGTCACCTATTTGTATTTTCCTTTTAGGGTTCTTTAAAAATAGATTATCTGTAACTGGAGCTATCCGAAACTATAGGATAATCCGAAATAATTTCATAGTCGTAAACCGGTATAATCTTTAACTAAATGCGAATGTGAATTTGTGTGTTTATTACAATTTCACGCCTTAACTAATCAACCGATCAGCATAAAATTTAGTACACACATTGCCAGGGGTACAAACAAGGTCATAGGATACATTTTATCCAGAAAAAGAAACTACTCCCGAGGGAAAATTTTTCTTTTCGCCTCGATAGAAAAGGACAGTATTTACTGTCATTCTGCGCAAAATGTATATTTAACCTAATGATCCTGTCAGGATTATTTATCAAATTATTGATTTTCGATGATTTTTGACACGTTTTTAGGACCTTAACGCGAGCGAAACCGCAGGTAAAAGCTTCTATAACTTCATTTATTATCCGTATCCGGATCCCAAATTTTACATCCTTGACATCCTTGGTTAGAATAGAGAATCTTAAAGTATGTATGGACTAAAAGAATTACCATACGACTTCCAATAGTTAGTGGGCGTTTGCGCACCGTTTTAAATGCTATTGATGATACCTAGATCCGCACTTTCGCATAGGGTATATAATAACTCACCAAAACGGCGACCATATGGGAAAATAGTAATACAATAATAAAAACTGTATTGATACCGATGTGACTTGTTTTACTGTTTTACTTTACTAAAAATATGAGGTTTCTGCANATTAATCTTTATTTTAACGTATTATATAAAGTCTCTCCAAAGTTTTTAAAGAATAAGATTTGTTTAGTAAATGTTTTTGAACTACTTTACGGTTTTTCTCTCCTTAATTAACGCAATTACACTTTTTGCAGCTTGGAATAAATTAGCTTCATATAACGAAGTAGTAAATTTCTCTTCTTGTAAAATACCCGCGTACTTCCCTTCACTTTTCGTCTCCTTAATTAATCTTTCTTTCAATTATCCAAGGAGTAATAACAACTTATTTCCCCGACTAACAATTACTTTGCAAAACAAAATTGCACTCGCAATTCATTTTCTTAAATTGTGATTGGAAAATGGAACAGTTATCTTGTGATTTATTTACATTCATTATTTGATTTTCGAAAAGAAAATAAACAGTGTAAATCTAATCCTGTTGCTACAGTTTTATTAAAATTTTACGGTTGACGTATTAGATATTGACCAAACATCTACAAGAAAGCCGAGTGCTGCTACAAATGATGTTTATCATGCAAAACTTCAATTATGTATCTAATTTCTACGTGCATGTAAGAATTTCTTTTGTTTCATAAGCTGCAGTAGTAATTATCCAAAATTTACTCGTTTTTAAACAAATGAATAGTACATTTAGTATTGTAGATTTTATCAGTTCTGCTATTCCTTCATCGAACTTCATTGTTCAAATGAAACAATAGTTAAATTTTTCAAAACTTTTCATTCTTTGAAATGTTAAGTTTCCCATTTTGGCTATTGTAAAACAGATAGATTTTATTGTATCGTAGTCCAGTGTCTTCTAGGGATCTCTCTCTTCTTATTTCAGATTTTCCTCGTGTAGAGGTAGGTCCAGAGAATCCTTTACGCGTCGAAAGAGATTCGTCGACAACTCTCGAATGTACTGTAGATGCAAAGCCCAAAGTGAACACCATCCGTTGGACCCGTAACGGCCGTTTCATAAGTTCGTCAAACAGTCACATCCTGCATAGAGTGAGCATCCAGGATGCCGGAAAATACACTTGCAGTGCGGACAATGGCTTGGGAAAAGTTGGAGAGAAAGAAATTACCTTGGATGTCTTGTACTCGCCTGTTGTCGTCCTTGAAGCGAAAACAAAGGAAGCCGAAGAAGGGGAAGCAGTATCCATCAAATGCAACATCACGTCAAATCCCCTTCCGGCCACAGTGGAATGGATCAAAGATGGAAAGCCGGATTTCCGCCAATCTGGACCAATACTAAAATTAAACCACGTAACAGCCGAAAATACTGGTACATACATCTGTCGTGCCGTCAATTACATTACACCAAGTGCACCACCCTTACGTAAAATAGAAAAAATCGGAAACGCATCAATTGCACTCCTTATCAGACATAAACCTGGAAGGGCCAGGATTATGCCAGATAAGCCCATTGCTACTGAAGGATCTCCCGTCACTCTCACATGCACTGCAACACCTCCTGGCTGGCCTGCACCCCAATATAGATGGTTCCGACCTGGAAATGACGGTCAACAAACAGTCTTAGCCACCGGAACCAAATACACCATTCCCAACGTCCATCTCAACAGCGAAGGCGTTTACTATTGTCAAGCTACTAACGAACTAGGGCATGGAGAAGTTGCTTCCGTTAATTTAGAAGTACATCAGCCTCCCAGTTTTAAACAGAAACTGAAACCTTTAGAAACTAAGGCTGTCGGAAATCCAAATTTCTCAGTGATCTGTAGTGCGAAGGGAAAACCGAAACCGTCAATCAGATGGCTCAAGGATAACGAAGAACTCACGCCCGATACTCACATGTTCGAAGTCTCCACCGATGTTTTCGAAACTAGTAGCGGAACCGTCAACATTAACAGCGAACTGAGATTCAAAGGCAAGGCAAGACCAAATGGTAACGAACTCCTTCCGTCCGATCGAGGAGTTTACACATGCACATTCGAAAACGAAGTTAAAAAGACTGAATCTAGCATGCACCTAAGAATTGAACGTAAGTACATACATATAATGTGTCTCGAAAATATTGAAATCCTAAACATACTTTGCTTAAAAGACTTCTGAGGGTGCCAGTGTTTCTAATGTAACTGGCATTTAAGATTCTGTAAACCAAATTAATTTATTTCGATTGTATTATTTTTCAGATAAACCAATCGTTCTTCATCAGTATAACAAAGTGGCTTACGACTTGCACGAAACTGCTGAAGTTGTATGCAAGATTCAGGCATATCCAAAACCTGAATTTAAATGGTTTTATGGTTCAAACATGTCACCGTTGCTGTCTTCTTCGGAGGGCCATTACAAAGTTACGACAACTGGTGACGACAACGACGTGTACACCAGTCTCTTGAGGATAGCGAACATTAAACAGAATGATTACGGCGAGTACAACTGCCAAGTCGTTAACAATCTCGGAAGTATAGAGACCAGGATAAGACTTCAGCCGAAAGGTGCACCTGAGAAACCAACAAAAGTCACAGCGTTATACGTCGGTCCTAATTTCGTCACCCTCAACTGGGAGCCTGGTTTTAACGGTGGAATTTCGGCAACTAAATATTTCGTCTCGTACAAAAAGGTTCCCAGTAACGAGGATATTATAGTGGAAGGTTGTGGAATGGTCAGCAGGAACGCCGATTGGTTAGAAGTGGATTGTCAGCAAAACGTCCCCTGTAACGTGACCCACTTAGATCAACATCACAGTTACGTCTTCAAGGTGAATAATAATAGACTTGTAACATTTGACGAACATTTTGAAAATAATATCTTTAATTACAATTTTCAGGTGAAAGCTTTGAATACAAAAGGAAACAGCGACAATTCTCAGGAAGTGCGAGTGACGACAAGAGTTGACCGCATCCCTTTACCGCAGAGAGTCGCTTTCGACCCAACTACTCAAGGTCTGTCCGTAAATGTGCCCGCAACATGTCTGCCTCTTGTTGCCGTTGTCGAAATGATTAACAGCGAAAGTTTTCCTTTAACTTCGTGGCAAGTTGTTGACACCCTTCCTCTTCAGACGTCCGGCCTTGTTGCGACTTACAAGGAAGCCATCTTGGAGCAGGGCAATCGACGCACTTATCCTGCTGTAGAAGAACCAATAGGAGTCGGTGACGATGATAATGTCAGAGTTAGAGTGAAACTTTGTCTTAGAACTCATCACGATCACTGCGGAGATTACGTTGAAGCAGAATGTAAGCTACTTTTATTTTTAACATTAGCTTAAAATTGATTAATCATTTGTTAATTTCTAGTGGGACCAGCGTACATCAAAGAAGCCTCTGCCTTAGCAACCCCCACATTAATAGCCATCGTTGTGTCATGTATAGTTTTCGTACTTTTCGTTGGACTACTGTTGATGTTCTGTCGTTGTAAACGTAACCAGTCGAAAAAATCTCAAGCCAAAGATTACGAAATGGATTCTGTGAGACCGACCATAGTTTCTCAACAAAATCAGGCACCTCCTCCGTATTATCCACCCTCTGGAATGGAAAATAAGGCATTGGAACACTCTTTAGACTTAGCCCTGGCTATGGAGGATCCTAAGAATCCAGTCTATGCGACTCAAAACGGTTACGGTTACGTTCCCAATCCGAACATGCAAGGACATCAAAATATCAACAATGGAGAATGTAAGTCTCACATTTTGCTGAGCCAATCCACTCTCTTTACTAATATGAATTTGTATTTTTTTTTAAGGGGCTAACATGGGTTACATGGATTCAAATTATTCCAATTCGAACAATGGAGGAAGCGTGAACTCTCAAGATTCATTGTGGCAAATGAAAATGGCGGCAGCGTCTAGTAACTCAAACAACCAACTCCAGAACCCACACATAGAACATCAGAACACGTATGGTTACGATCCCATAACTCATGGGGGCTACGGAGCCATAGACGATTACGCCCCATATCCTCACATCACGACCCAGAGCAACCACGGTGACGATTACATGAGAAACAGCAACAATCCGTCCCGTCAGGAATATATCAGTAATGACCCATATGCAGCTGTCCACAAACCAAAGAAACGTATTGAACAACATATCGGTAAGTAGACTGATTTTTTATCGTTTAGGAAGTTGATTTGATCTTGAAGTACTGTAGTTGCTATGTATAAGGGGCATTCCGTATCAAACCAACCGTTAGTTACTTTTAGGAGTCATATTGTGAAGTCTTCTAATGAACCTTTACTATCGGATATTTTTATAAATATTTATAATCAGCTAATAATTTCTCTTCTTTGGAAAAGCCTTTTTGAGTATTACCATTTTAGAAACTAATTCAAATCTCAAATGAAATCTTCTTAAAAGTCCAAATAATGTAAATAGAAATGTGATCAGATCATTGAAATTAAAAGTAGGATGGTACGATTTGAAATGCTCCATGTAATTATGGGTACACAGTAAAGTATTGCTTAATCATAATTTTCCTTCCTAATGCAGCCATGGTGGTGGATTCTGTAAAATAGTCTCTAGGCAAGGTAATTTTACATACTCAGTTAGTTTTGTATGGTCCTTTAGTGAAGTCTTTCCTTGTATATTTTTGAACACCCTGTACTACTATCAAGAATTAGTAGATACTGTTTGAACTATAATAAATTTTGAATATTTTAGCTAAACATGTAAAGTATCAAATAATTTAATAAATGCAGTTGAAATTTTTGAAGATTAATGTGAGATATAAATTATTGTTTAGATTCACCATACCATGATGTGAACGGTCTCCCTGACCCATATCTGGAACAGATGGAAGACGAAAAACCTCCCCAACACATGTCTCTTAGCTACGAAGAAAGTTTAGAGAGTGGTTATTCAACTCCTAACTCACGGACAAGGCGCGTTATTCGTGAAATAATTGTTTAAAAGGACAGCTTTAAACACTAGAATATATCACTGCTGTGGACTACTTACAAAAACTAAAACAGTGCATATTCCAGTTTGATTGCGTGTTTTTCCTTAACGAATAAACTTATTAATAATTATTATTAATAAATAATTAAATCTGCTATACAACGCTGACAACATCAAGAAAACTGACTTTGTAAATGTAAAGTATTCGTGTCGTTATTAAAATATTTTTAGTGTAATCATTCACTAATTTTTATAACACATACACAGACACATACACACGGGGTACAAGGCGAAGAACGACAGGAAGTTTGCTTTCTTTTGTGTACCTGATCTAATATGTTTTATTGATAGTATTGTACTTGTAATTTACCGGACTAGAACTTGCACGTAGAACACTGTGCCGAACAATTTTTCTTTTCTTCTTTCTTGTAGGAACGACCAATTAATTTTTTGAATAGATTTCGGAAAATAAGTGCCTTGCTGTCTTTTTATTTCAGTTTTGTTTGAATTGTTTAAAGGTAAGCAGTTATGATACAAGACTTACAATATTATTTTTCTTGGAGTTGTATTAGTTTATTCAGTTATAATTTCTTTTCTTTTTGATTATTTAATAACTGATTGAACTTTAAAGGAGATAAATTGTTCGGAACTTTGTTCTTGCCTTTTCAACAAGTTAATTTTATTAATATCATTGGACACACTTGTTGATGTTTGCAGTGATTGAATGCACAGAACTGCCATGACTTAATTATATATAAGGAGATCATTCCTTTTGCCATTTTAATGCCACACGGTCAAAATAAATCGCTAATTACTAAGCCTATTAACGAAGGGGCAAATTTTAGTGGTGATTAAATAATTAAATAATTTAAAAATGCCACAGCACTCGACTTACACTAAAATTAGTAGCTATATTTTGTGGACGTTAGCAATACGAAATATTTTCTTTTAATATTTATTTTGCGACTTTATTTATTATTATTATTATTACATTCGCCACATTGTATTATTATTTCTCTATTGAGAAAGGGATATCGAAATAATTTTTGAATAATTGTGATATTATTTAGTTAGTGGGAGTGCCAATATCACCGAAGAGAATACTTGTATTGTACTTGAAAACTGTCACTGATAACACAGGGAATAAATGTTATAATTAACGTTTGCATGTACAGTTTTTCGAACTTGTATTATAATATAAACACTATTTTCGAAAACGTTGAAAGTTTTCAGATACAACAGACATTACTTTAAGATAGTACTTAAAATAAAAAATGAGAAAAATTAAAAAAAAAGCTAAGGTAACATACTTGGAGTGAAAGCCTCTGCGATACAGAAGTTGTAATACAATTTGTGAATTTGCGTGTACTTATTTGTATTTGTTGTGCATATGTGTACGAATTGAAATGAATCGTGTCTTTATATACAAATATTTTCCCTTTGTTTTATTTTCTTGTAAAATTCGATTTTATGTATTTTGTATGTAAGTACGTACCTATTTGTTTTTTGTATATGTATTTAAGAGTCGCGAAGACTTTCGTAATTTGTTGCTGATGATGAAATAGTGTAAGAAACCGTAAATTTTCTATTTTCAGAGAATTTACGATTTCGAAGAGAATAACGAGTGGCAGCAATTATTCCTTACCTTTTCTTTTTTCTATTACACTGACTGGGGTAAGAAATAATTGTGTTTGGTACAGATTATTGTAAGAAATGCTCAAAAAATAAAAGTATTGATCTCAGAGATTCAAATGCAGCAATCTCTTAGACACGAATATTATAATGGGCCGAAGGCAAGAATTTTGTTTCTGTATATAATTATAAATTTCAAAGACTTATTNCAAGGACTGTACTTATGGCTTTTACTCGATTCCCGGATTTAAACCGCCTGGATTATTATAATACGAAGCTGAAGTCGTACATATATAAGGCTACGTCACTCCAGTGGAAAATGTGGAAGATAATTATAGGATGTAATTCAATAAGAAACGCTTCTGGTCTATTTAAAAATGAGATAATTGATTCAAGTTTAGTAAACACCCTGTATATTTTAACCAGGAACATTTACGTCTATTTACAAATGTCTTTTATTCTTTTGGACATGCAAGCCGGAAAAATTCATTTGCGTCCCATATAAAATGCTTTCAGAGTCTGTTCGTGTTTGTTTTATGATTCGTGTATATTTTGAGATTAAACTCGATGGATAAGTTTTAGCGTTCGTAGTCGTATACATACAATATAATCGGCATACAAGGAAGAACACGTGGATTATAAATGAACTTTGTATATTTTTCGGCGACTGTATACCGCCAGCATCTGCTTTCTCCAAAGTCTCATCTGGCGGAAGCTGCTGTTTGTACAAGACGTTTCAGATTAAAATCTATCAAGGGATTTATTTGCTTTAACGCTTTAAAATTCAATCTCGGTTATCGTGCGAAAGTGCCAAAGTATTAATAATAATACGTGAAACAAATTCTTGAGTAAAACCAGAATATGAACTCTTCCTTATTTAAAGGAACATTCGTCCTACATTTCTCGAACATTAACCCATTGAAGTTTACGTTATTCTTATCAAAAGCTTCCAAGTATTAATGTGAAAATCTATTTTCAATTTTTTACCCACTTTTAACTTCCTAACGTGAATGAGGGCAAATTTAGTTGCTGTTGTCGCACCCTCGTCGGGAATCAAACTCGGGACCTTTGGCTACGAGAGATGACAACAATAACAACAACAAACCGTACCTATCAGGTCACAGATCGAAATCTGTCGACAGATCTGTGACCAAACAAAATTTTCCCTCATCAACCTGAGGTAGTTAATAGTGGGTAAAAAGCTGAAAATGAATTTTCACATTAATATTTCATATTACTCACTATTAAATATCAAAGGGCTTCATATATAAAAGCTTTCAAGTTTAAAAAGGACAATATGGGGTAATTGGAACTTCCTTAAAAATTACATTTAATAATATAAAATGTTGAAGTTAGTTTATTACGTGGTCGTAATCGGTATTTGTTTTAATCATTGCTTAACTATTAATCTTTATTTTAACGTATTATATAAAGTCTCTCCAAAGTTTTTAAAGAATAAGATTTGTTTAGTAAATGTTTTTGAACTACTTTACGGTTTTTCTCTCCTTAATTAACGCAATTACACTTTTTGCAGCTTGGAATAAATTAGCTTCATATAACGAAGTAGTAAATTTCTCTTCTTGTAAAATACCCGCGTACTTCCCTTCACTTTTCGTCTCCTTAATTAATCTTTCTTTCAATTATCCAAGGAGTAATAACAACTTATTTCCCCGACTAACAATTACTTTGCAAAACAAAATTGCACTCGCAATTCATTTTCTTAAATTGTGATTGGAAAATGGAACAGTTATCTTGTGATTTATTTACATTCATTATTTGATTTTCGAAAAGAAAATAAACAGTGTAAATCTAATCCTGTTGCTACAGTTTTATTAAAATTTTACGGTTGACGTATTAGATATTGACCAAACATCTACAAGAAAGCCGAGTGCTGCTACAAATGATGTTTATCATGCAAAACTTCAATTATGTATCTAATTTCTACGTGCATGTAAGAATTTCTTTTGTTTCATAAGCTGCAGTAGTAATTATCCAAAATTTACTCGTTTTTAAACAAATGAATAGTACATTTAGTATTGTAGATTTTATCAGTTCTGCTATTCCTTCATCGAACTTCATTGTTCAAATGAAACAATAGTTAAATTTTTCAAAACTTTTCATTCTTTGAAATGTTAAGTTTCCCATTTTGGCTATTGTAAAACAGATAGATTTTATTGTATCGTAGTCCAGTGTCTTCTAGGGATCTCTCTCTTCTTATTTCAGATTTTCCTCGTGTAGAGGTAGGTCCAGAGAATCCTTTACGCGTCGAAAGAGATTCGTCGACAACTCTCGAATGTACTGTAGATGCAAAGCCCAAAGTGAACACCATCCGTTGGACCCGTAACGGCCGTTTCATAAGTTCGTCAAACAGTCACATCCTGCATAGAGTGAGCATCCAGGATGCCGGAAAATACACTTGCAGTGCGGACAATGGCTTGGGAAAAGTTGGAGAGAAAGAAATTACCTTGGATGTCTTGTACTCGCCTGTTGTCGTCCTTGAAGCGAAAACAAAGGAAGCCGAAGAAGGGGAAGCAGTATCCATCAAATGCAACATCACGTCAAATCCCCTTCCGGCCACAGTGGAATGGATCAAAGATGGAAAGCCGGATTTCCGCCAATCTGGACCAATACTAAAATTAAACCACGTAACAGCCGAAAATACTGGTACATACATCTGTCGTGCCGTCAATTACATTACACCAAGTGCACCACCCTTACGTAAAATAGAAAAAATCGGAAACGCATCAATTGCACTCCTTATCAGACATAAACCTGGAAGGGCCAGGATTATGCCAGATAAGCCCATTGCTACTGAAGGATCTCCCGTCACTCTCACATGCACTGCAACACCTCCTGGCTGGCCTGCACCCCAATATAGATGGTTCCGACCTGGAAATGACGGTCAACAAACAGTCTTAGCCACCGGAACCAAATACACCATTCCCAACGTCCATCTCAACAGCGAAGGCGTTTACTATTGTCAAGCTACTAACGAACTAGGGCATGGAGAAGTTGCTTCCGTTAATTTAGAAGTACATCAGCCTCCCAGTTTTAAACAGAAACTGAAACCTTTAGAAACTAAGGCTGTCGGAAATCCAAATTTCTCAGTGATCTGTAGTGCGAAGGGAAAACCGAAACCGTCAATCAGATGGCTCAAGGATAACGAAGAACTCACGCCCGATACTCACATGTTCGAAGTCTCCACCGATGTTTTCGAAACTAGTAGCGGAACCGTCAACATTAACAGCGAACTGAGATTCAAAGGCAAGGCAAGACCAAATGGTAACGAACTCCTTCCGTCCGATCGAGGAGTTTACACATGCACATTCGAAAACGAAGTTAAAAAGACTGAATCTAGCATGCACCTAAGAATTGAACGTAAGTACATACATATAATGTGTCTCGAAAATATTGAAATCCTAAACATACTTTGCTTAAAAGACTTCTGAGGGTGCCAGTGTTTCTAATGTAACTGGCATTTAAGATTCTGTAAACCAAATTAATTTATTTCGATTGTATTATTTTTCAGATAAACCAATCGTTCTTCATCAGTATAACAAAGTGGCTTACGACTTGCACGAAACTGCTGAAGTTGTATGCAAGATTCAGGCATATCCAAAACCTGAATTTAAATGGTTTTATGGTTCAAACATGTCACCGTTGCTGTCTTCTTCGGAGGGCCATTACAAAGTTACGACAACTGGTGACGACAACGACGTGTACACCAGTCTCTTGAGGATAGCGAACATTAAACAGAATGATTACGGCGAGTACAACTGCCAAGTCGTTAACAATCTCGGAAGTATAGAGACCAGGATAAGACTTCAGCCGAAAGGTGCACCTGAGAAACCAACAAAAGTCACAGCGTTATACGTCGGTCCTAATTTCGTCACCCTCAACTGGGAGCCTGGTTTTAACGGTGGAATTTCGGCAACTAAATATTTCGTCTCGTACAAAAAGGTTCCCAGTAACGAGGATATTATAGTGGAAGGTTGTGGAATGGTCAGCAGGAACGCCGATTGGTTAGAAGTGGATTGTCAGCAAAACGTCCCCTGTAACGTGACCCACTTAGATCAACATCACAGTTACGTCTTCAAGGTGAATAATAATAGACTTGTAACATTTGACGAACATTTTGAAAATAATATCTTTAATTACAATTTTCAGGTGAAAGCTTTGAATACAAAAGGAAACAGCGACAATTCTCAGGAAGTGCGAGTGACGACAAGAGTTGACCGCATCCCTTTACCGCAGAGAGTCGCTTTCGACCCAACTACTCAAGGTCTGTCCGTAAATGTGCCCGCAACATGTCTGCCTCTTGTTGCCGTTGTCGAAATGATTAACAGCGAAAGTTTTCCTTTAACTTCGTGGCAAGTTGTTGACACCCTTCCTCTTCAGACGTCCGGCCTTGTTGCGACTTACAAGGAAGCCATCTTGGAGCNGTAAGAAGAGATTATGTACTTCTAAGTTTTGTTGTAATTTTGACATGTAATAGATGTTGTAAATAAAATAGTTTTGGTTTTTGTAAATAAAGGAAATAAAAATTCCAAATGTACATTATTCAATCGCTGATTGAAAAACCCGCCTTTTATTTTTATAAAAACCTGTGACATTCATCTATCGGAAGCTAGCGAAACTAATAGCAAGGATAAGAAAATTAAGTAATGTATTTTATTATTCATTACAGAAATCTAAGTGCGCGATCTAGCGGAGAGTAGCGAAACTAATTACAGAAATCATCAATTTTAAAGCTAAATCTATACAAGGTCCGATATACAAATAATATGACAAAAAAAGACCCGAAGGCACTTATGCTCTCCTAATACAAAAGTCGAAATTTTCAGTATTTTCAAGTATTTTCATACATACAAGGTCTGATCAACAAAAAACGTGACAGTCAAAAGTGTCTGAAACTGTAAATTTTCGAAATTTGTATTAGGAGAGCATAAGTTGATAAAGGTCTTTTTAGAATGAAAAATCGTAGTAATTTAATCATTAATTATACTTCTTTAGAACGTTTTGTGACGTCATATTTCGACGTTGATAAAGATAGAAAGACATGTTGGTCTAGTTTAGACGAATTTTTAACTTTATTAAAGAAAAATATAAATCTTTAGTTGTTACTTGTTATGTTATTAAATAAATTTCAAGATGTTGTAGCAAGTATATTTATTATCAAACGTCGTAAGATGCAAAGAAAAATATAAACTTTTAGGTTTTACTTATATAATTGATAGAGATCTTTGATGTTTGTGAAGCTCCATTATAACTTAATTTGTTATTAGTTTTGTAATTTTTCTAATACTTCACTTTAAAGTACTTTACTTATATGTTACGTTATTAAATAAAATTGGAAGTGTTGTAGCAAGTAAATTTATTATCAACCACCTTAGGATAGATACATCATATTTGAAACAACTACAAACTAAAACTTTTATAAACTTTTATATTGTTTATTATAAAATAAGTAATTATGTATAATATATGTATAATACATTGCATATTTATTATCAACCACCTTAAGATAGATACATCATATTTGAAACAACTACAAACTAAAACTTTTATAAACTTTTATATTGTTTATTATAAAATAAGTAATTATGTATAATATATGTATAATACATTGCATATTTATTATCAACCACCTTAAGATAGATACATCATATTTGAAACAACTACAAACTAAAACTTTTATAAACTTTTATATTGTTTATTATAAAATAAGTAATTAT